TAAAAAAATCTTATACGTAATTGAATAAAAAGATCAAGCTATCAAATTATTTCTCTTTTTTTCCTTCTTTTTAATGACCTGCATAGTTTACAATCTTAAGTCTTTATTTTTAAATTTGTTTCAATGAGTGCAAAAGTTTTGAGCAAGTGCTACATAGAAGCTTTTTTTAGATCTGCAGATGAGCGCGATTAATTTTTTTGACTTCAAAATAGAGTACATTAAAGTATACTATACAAAAATTATTTGCAATTATTTGCAATTACTTTTTCGGTACCCCTAATCTACATGATGGATCAATATAGATAACAAAAATACGTTTCTAATAAAATTTTTTAAAATCAAAACTAGTTTTTACCAAAATTTTGTGGCGTATAGTTTAAAATAGTAAAATTTTTATAAGTTATATTATTTTAAAAAAATATGTTTGTCTATAGAATGTGTGATCGTATTTTATTAGTGTCATTCGGCTTCGAATTTAAATTCGAATTTTTAAATTGAAATCCGAACTTATTCCAACAATTACTTTATTGGTCTATCGTTATAAAAATTCTATAGCTGGTCAAATACTTTTGTTCTCTATGCATTTTAGTGAATTGAACTCGACTATATCATGATCGATTATCGATCGAACTGAGTCAATAGTCGAGCATGATTTTGTAGACTCGATCAAAAGTAGGTCAATTATTGATCAATAATGTTTGATCGATCAGATAGTTGAATTTGATCGATCAAGAAATTTTATATAATACATTATTATTCTTGGATTTTTTTTAGTAGATAAGATATAATCGATCAATTATTGACCTGATAATTGATCGATTATATATACTCGAGTTATTTCTATGCGCTTTGATGACTGAAATTACGATTTTGATTCATCTATAATAAAAATATCAAAAACGTAGCTTAGACATTTTCCTGAAAATTTTGATCTGCGATATACATGACCAGATTTTTCAGGGGTTGGAGCCATTAATCGAACGCTCATACAGTACTAAAATAATGTGCTCCGGACTTATACCGGTTTCCGGTTCCTAGTAAATTATATGCTTGATCGATCATACTCGATCAAGTTTATATAATTGATTTTTGATCGATTAAGCAAAATTTTTTTTGGTCAATCATCGAGTAATGTTTTTTTGTCAAGTCAATTCACTAACGCTAATGCATTTGTACATATCCGAATTTAGATTACATTAATTTTGGGACATTTGGTAAAAAATCGACCCAACGATTATTTGGCGATTCGATAAGTTATTGATTTCGACATGATCAGTGTAACGTTTATTATTTACGTAGATAGGTGCGTACGTGCATTTTAAATTGATCACTAATCGATTTGTAAATAAAACTCATGTGAAAATATAAAATGCTACAAGGATTTAAACGAATTCTATTTTTACGTCCTAACAAAGTTCCATCTCTATAATTCATAAAAATGCCAGCCAGGCTTTCCTTCATTAAAACCTTAAGATATTTTATATTATTCAGGTTTAGTGGATGCATTTTTCTTACAAGTGGCAGAAGTTCTTCACCACATGATATCTTTGAAATTGAAGATTTGCTAGCATCTAAATGTTCAGCAATTATTCGGATTGATAACTCTTCTAAATTTTTTTCGACTATTTTTCCAGCGAATATGTCTCGAAAATATCATATTTATCCAGTGTTATAGCAATATTGCTTATCTGGTCATTATCAATTAAAATTGTCACTGCTGCACCATAAATAATATGTTTCACGTGAGTTTTAATTTACAAATCGATTAATAATCAATTTAAAACATGCGTACGTAACTGACTTTAGACTATCTACTTAAATAATAAACGTTACACTGATAATGCCGAAATCAATAATTTTTCGAATCGGCCAAATAATCACTCGGTCAATTTTTTTTACTAGATGTCCCAAAATTTATGAAAACAGTTGTAAACCCGAAGGTCGAACCCGGTTCCAAACTCTACTTGTCTACATCGTAAAGTTTCCCTAACTCAATTTTCCCTAAGTAGTACAAAACTCATAATATCTAAACCTTAAAATACTCATATTTCGGCGAGTTTTAACTTAATTTTAATAATTTTACTACTTTTAGAATCAGAACAATCTGTTAGGGGAGGGACACAAATCAGCTGACTTTTTTTGATGGTGGGATTTGTGATTCAATCAGGTCATATATTTTTATAATTGGCTAATATTTGAATCAGGTGGGGTGGATGGTATATCCTCTTAGTGCCTTAAAGTGCCATATGATAGATTCCCTATGAGATATACCCTGTGATGATTTGTGAACTTAAATTTGATTTATATCTGGATACAATCATGTCAAAGTTTAATGAATAGTACCTCTATACTTTGAGAATACTCGGATACTATATAAAATTAATTAATTATCTATTTATTTATTTCCTCCTACTTAAGTACCCCGAGTATAGCTCAAGAAATTGTAAATACTCGGATACATCATTTGGCACTTTACGGTAACTAGAAATTACCCGATTTTGTCCCTCTCCTTATAAAATCTACTCAGAAACATAAAAATAGATTTCTTAAAAATTTTTTAATTTAAAAATAAAATACAATACCAATTAACTTATTATATAATTCGTATATTTGAGCCCTCCGCCCTTGATAAGTTAGTAAATTTTAAATATATTAGATTGTGAAGCAAATAAACCAATTTAGCATTGTGACGCTTTTCCCTAAAATATATAAAAGAATTGTAATTTTGAATCATCGGATTAAAAATATTATTTTTAATAAATTTAATAAACTAGGTTCCGAAATTCTAAAACATGTCAAAAAACTGTTACAATCCGTTTTAACATTATTCGTTATATTTCACCCTATAATGCTATAAAGATCAAGCATAATTATCGTGTATGGTGCGACTTTTTAGTGATTCGTGTTATTCTAAGAGACTCTTTCAACTTTAATTTCAGCTTTAATATACTTTTAACCTCACCTATTTATAATGATCATGAATCGAATTTTAAGTTCTTTATTAATCTTATTATTTTCGATTGTTTATAAGTATGTCGCGGTTTGCACTAATGAAGATTTTGTGACTCGTTCTGCAAAACCAATTGAAAATAAAACATGGGAAAATTGGAATGGAGTAATTCATATTTTGCCAAATGCTATTTTTGAACCGTCTACACTTGAAGACCTTATTGATATTGTAAAACTGGCAAAGACAAATAATAAAACTATTCGATGTGCTGCCCAAGGGCATACCGAAAGTTCTCTATCTGTCACAGAGAACTATCTAGTAGTAGTTAAAAAATTAAATCAAATTACAGTGCAAAAACATCCAAATTATGGCTGGACTGTTACTGCCGAAGCAGGTAAATGTTTGTATATATACAGTCAAACCTCTCTAAATGCTTTAAATGCTCTAAAGCTGATAGCTTGCATTTGGAGAACGATAAGAAAAATGC